AAAATTATTAGATTCTTTTTTGTAAAGATTTATTTATTATGTATACAGCATTCTGCCAGCAGCTCAGAAGAGGGAAGCAGATCTCATTCCAGATGGTTGTGAGCCACCATGTGGGAATTGAACTGAGAACCTCTGGAAGAGCAGCCAGGGCTCTTAACTGCTGAGCCATCTTTCCAGCCCCTAGATTCTTGTGTGTTTGCCCTGCATGTGTGTATGTGTACCACATGTGTGTCTGGTGCCTTTTGAGGTCAGAAGAGGGCATCAGATCTCTTGGAACTGGAGTAACAAATGGTTGTGAACACCATGTGGGTTCTAGCAAACAAAACCTGGGTCTCTAGAAGAGCAGTAAGTGCCCTTAACTACTGTGCCATCCATCTCTTCAGGCCCATAAAGTCAAATTTTCAAAAAGAAAACAATTCCCAGGACCTACAGGGTAGGAGAACCAACTCCACAAAGTTGTCCTTTTACTTCTATGTCCATCTGCACATACACAGCATAATGTTTCAAAAGAGTAAAATGTTTTTTAAAACCTTTAATAAAGTGTGACATGGCAATGCACACCTGTAACCCCAGCCCTCAGGAAGATGAAACAGGAGGATTGCCATGGCTCAATTAGGTAGTGAAATACAGAATATTCTAGGCAAGACTGGGCTGGCTACACAGTGAGGCCAGACCCTGCCTCGAAAGAAAATAAAAACTTTAATATATAAAACACTTTATAATCAGCAAACCTATTTCATTGGATTTTAATATATACCATTTAGAGGGAAAGGAGACATCCAAAAATTGAGTAATACTGTTACTCAAGTTTGACTTTATTATTATATGCCATTAATAGTGATCATTTCTTCTTGAGAGTCTCGCTATTTTTCCAGGCCAGCCCTCATCTTTTGGGTTCAAGATGTCTTCCTGCCTCAGCCTTCAGAGCAGCAGAACTGTATACATGTGACACCATGTCCAATTTCTTAAGGTTAAAAAAAAGAAATGCCCACGTGTGTAGGTATAGGGTTATGAGTACAGATGCCCACAGAGGCCCAAAGAGTGCATCAGATTCCCTGAACTGCATGTGGATGCTAGGAACCAAGCTTGGGTCCTCTTGAAGAGCAGCCACTGCGCTTAGCTATCAAGCACTCTCTCCAACACCTCTCCCGGTTTAAAAAAATGTGCATCTGGAAGCTGGAGAGATGACAGCAGCTAAATGCTTCCTGCTTTCAGAGGACTAGAGTTTGGCCCCATTGCCCATGTCTGGCAGCTCACAGCTGCCTGTAGCTCCAGGTCCATGGGATCTGATGTCCTCTTCTGGCCTCTGCAGCTCTGTGGCACACACTCACAGAAACATTTACTCATACATATAAATACACATTAAAGAAGAAATCTTTAAAATGTCCATTTCCCTTTCATCAGATTGAGGCTTCAAGAGATGCCATTTGAGTATCAATACTGTGGACAAGTTGTGTGTGAGCCCTTAAAGACACCTGGCTGGAGCTGTGCTTTGACGGTACTTGTACCATCATTATCATTTTCCAAGTCAGCCTAAAACAGGACTCAGCACAGTAGCTCTCCTGGGAGCTTTGAGGCCTTCTGCTCTGACAGGAACTGACAAGGCATCCAGTTTTTGAGTGAGCAGCTCCTGTGTTTTCTGGCCCTCTGGCATGAATCACTATCGGCTATCCAGACTATAGTTTAAGTCTACTCAGTCAATCTTTTTATTTCTTTGGTTCACTTCCTCTAGTGAACTTAACACTTTTCTCTATATGCATCTTACTGACTTTGTCAGGTAACAGGTTGAGAGCTCACTTAGAACACCTTCTTTTATCACACAAATAGAACTCAGGAAGCTACTGCGCTGGTGGCAAAATTGTGGACTTAAAATCAAAGTACAAGAGGCTGGAGAGATGGCTCAGAGGTTAAGACCACTGGCTGCTCTTCCAGAGGACCTGAGTTCAATTCCCAGCAACCACATGGTGGCTCACAACTATCTATCATAAAATCTGGTGCCCATTCTGGCGTGAAAGTGTAGGTGCAAGAAGAATATTGTATACATGATAAATAAATCTTTAAAAAAAAGTACAAGGGCTGGGCGTTGGTGGCGCATGCCTTTAATCCCAGCACTCGGGAAGCAGAGGCAGGCGGATCTCTGTGAGTTCAAGACCAGCCTGGTCTACAAGAGCTAGTTCCAGGACAGCCTCCAAAGCCACAGAGAAATGCTGTCTCGAAAAACCAAAAAAATGCCCAGCACACACCACGAGTTTGATTCCACCACAAAACATATATAAATGAAAATAAAGTTAAAACAATTTTCAGGCCCATGAAATTACTCCATAAATACACATTTAAATATGAACAAACGGAGTCTACTTCCTGCTGCCTTCTGGTCAAGATGTAGCACTCTCAGCTCCAGCACCACGTCTGCCTGCACACCTCCATGCTCCTGTCATGACGATAATGGACTGAACTTCTGGAACTATAACCAAGCCTTCTCAATTAAATGTTTTCCTTATAAAACTTGCTGTGGTCATGGTGTCTCTTTACAGCAATGGAAACTGTAACTGAGACAGAGGCTGGTACCAGGGACTGGTGTATTGCTGTGATAGGCCTGACTATGTTTTTGTTTGGAGGAATTTGGACTTTGGGAGTTTTGGGTTGGGAAAGCAGTGGATGCTTTAAGCCATACTTAATGGGTCCTACCAGGAGGAGCCTGGAAGACAGTGGTGCTGAATATGATTTGATGCACTGTGGGGATCGAGACAATTCAGAAGAGAAGAATGCTCCTTTGTGGCCTAGAGACTGTGTTTGCAATATTTTGGTGAAGGAAATGACAGCTTTTTGTCCTTGTCTGAAGAGTCTGCCTGAGGCTAAAGTGAAGAATTTTGGATTAATTCCACTGGCAGAGGAAATCTCAAAACAGGCTAGTAGACTGTTGTGTGGCTATTAGTGGTGACTCTAATGCAGACTTATAATGAAAAGGAGCAAGCTGAGCAGGGTAAATTACAAAATGTAAATTTTTTGACACGAAAGAGCACCAGGAAGTGGAATGGAGCTAAGTCCTGTGTTTAAGGAGATAAATGGATTAAAAAATGGAATAAAGGGAGTGGTGACCTCAGGGCAATATCCCACCCAGATAAATTTCCAGCTTGTGAGAAGGAATTAAAGAAAAGCTTAAGAGCTGGGTGTGGTACTGGGGAGGCAGAGGCTGGCAGACCTCTGAGTTTTGAGGCCAGCCTGGTCTAGAGATCCAGTTTCAGAACAGCCAAGCTTAGGCAGTGAAGGACAGAAAGCTGGTGAAGAGGTAACTGAACAATGAGGCCATGTTCCAGCCCCAGTAAACAGAACTTGGCAGCTTTGGCCATGTGGTTCTGGCTTTGGAGTTTAGGATAGAAGAAATGGGTTATGGAATTTTCCTCCACACCTAAAGAAAGCCATGGAGGCCAGGCATGTTTCAGGGGTGTCCCTGAATGGAGGCCTAGTAGAGAGGCCATTGTGTGAAGCTACCAAGTTGGAGCCTGGATTGCTTTGGAGAACCCAAGATGACAGAGTCATGGGATACCTGCTGAGGAGAACTGCTAACAGGGAGTGGAACCAGTCCAAGAGAAAGAAGTGTTGCAGTCAACAAAGCTTAAAGGAATTGGAGAGCTGAAGAGTGTTTTGACATCAGACATGGAGCTGCAGTTTGGAGTTTACCTGGCTGGTTTTCAGTCTTGCTTTAGTCTGAAGGGACCAGTTCCCCATTTCGGCAGCCTTAACAACCTAACATGTGCTTGCCTGACCTTGCCTTGGTCAGTAGGAGGTCAGATGCCTGCCTCGTGGCAAGGAACCAATCAGAAGTTAGCTGGTGGTGCTATGCTTTACCGCTCTAGGTGTGCTTTACGGACAAGTGCACAGCAATGGCGCTCAGAGCATAGCAATTGCCCTGGGAAGGCCTATGGGCCATAACAACCAGTTGACCAATCAACATAGGGCAGGCCCTTCAAGCCTGGAGTCACACCAATCCTGAGCCTGTGCATACCCCTAGACACTCCCCTTACACTGCCCCTTATAAGATCTCTATGCCGGGGCCTCGCTGCGTCTTTCCTAGCCATCTGCCATGGTGGATGGATGAAAGGTCCGAGCTAACAAGGGGTTAGTTTGTTAAACAACTACAATAAACCCCGTGCTGTATGCATCAAGCTTTCGACTCTGCCTGGTGATTGGGATCGTTGTGGTCCTGGACCGAGATCCTGGGGGCCTGAGCCTCCGGGGGTCTTACAAGTCCAGTATTTCCTCACTGTGTTCCATCCCTGTGTTTTGGAATGGTAATGTATATCCTGTGTCATTATATGTTGGAAATATGTGATTTTTTAAAAATTTTATTTAAGAGATTGCATGAATCTCCAAAGAGACTTTGAACTTTAGACTTTAAAACATTCTTGAGACTGCGATAGAACATGGCGAGTTTTGAAGTTGGATTAAATGAATTTTGCATTATGATACTGTTACAAGTTTAAGGGGGTCAGGGAGTGGAATGTGGTAGTTTGAACGTAATTGGCACCCATAATCTCATGGGGAGTGGCACTATTAGGAGGTATGGGTTTGTTGGAGTGGGTATGGCCTTGTTGGAGGAAGTGTGTCACTGTGGAGGTGGGATTTGGGGTTTCCTATGCTCAGGATACTACCCAGTATCTCAGTCAACTTCCTGTTGTCTGCAAGATATAGGACTTTCAGCTCTTCCTCCAGCACCACGTCTGACTGCACACCACCATGCTCCCTGCCATGATGATAATGGACTGAAACCCTGAAACTGTAAGCCAAGCCAGTCATCTCAATTGAATGTTTTTATTACAGGAAAAAAAATTAAAATAAATAAAAAATAAATAAGAACAAACAAAACACTTTATTACATTATTTTCTTTACAAAAAAGCTCCTTACTCAAGACTAGCCTGGTCTACAAAGTGAGTTCCAGGATAGCCAGGACTGTATCATAAAGAAACCCTGTCTTGAAAAAAACAAACAAAGAAAAACCTTTCCCCAAAGAAATAATGGCATTTATTTAACTTCCTCAAATCCAAGGACAACCAATGATTACCTATCAAACACAGATTAAAAAAAAAAAAAGGATTACATCAGTGGTGTTCTTAGTTGAAAAAGCCCATAACAGTATTTTTTCTCTAGTAGATGGCCTGCTGACTGACACCAAAAACAGATACTAAAACCCTAACAATGGTGACTACTGCTGGGGCTTAGTTGGTATGGAAAAGAATCCAGCCAATGATGTGTGAGTGTTCCAGCTTTCCAAGCAGCCAGGGTTACTCTGAGCAAATGCTCACATATGAATGAATTCAATGTTAAGAAGTTTCCCTACTGTCTAAAGCACCTTTCAGGAATCTATACAGTGGTGATGGCTGATGTGCTCTCCTTCTATTCTCCCGGGTGGTGCTTGGCCCCTCCCCTCCCTGAGAACCCTAGGGACATGCTTGGCACATGAAGTTTCACTGCCTTCTGATCTCAATTCAAAGACTGGGCATCCTGCCAGGGACACAAAAAAGATTTGCAAGAGAGTTCAGATTTCACCAAGGTGACTGCCAATCCTGTGTGCCCTGTTCTCAGGTAGGTAACAAGTAGTATAGCTGGTCCAGTGCTGACTTCTGAACTTCTTGGCTTCTCAGTAGCAATACATTACATCTTCAGTTTGTGTTAACATCTCTCTCAGGTTCGATGAACCTTCCCAAGTAACATCCTAGCCTCTAGTCCGGCTTTGGAACACTCTGATTTTTTTGTTTTTCTGTATATTCTTCTAGTCGAAGAAGCCACTTGGCCCAATACTTGGAACAGAGTTCTTCGTCCATGAAATGAGGGTGGGCAGGGGACCCATCTTTATAGGCCACCACAATTAAGCCACACTGAACCTAGAAAGGAACACAGCACAGCTCCAGTATTTCCTCTTGTTCCAGGCCAAACTAGCCGGTGCTAAGCACTCCACAGTAGTATCTCCAAATCAGTTTCTAAGATGAGCTGTTTAAGATTTCACTAGGACACACAAGATGGCAGAAAAAACACTGAAAAATGGACTGTGCTTATTAAGCGAGAATGGGGGTGGGGGAACAGCCCAGGAAGGGAAGAAGTGCTCTGTAGGTGAGAGAATCCTAAGGAACAATCAGCAGTGTTATAAATAGAGAGTAAAACCCAACACACACACACAAAATCATACTAAGGAGGAGCTTGAGGTTCTGACCTGAAAACTGTAGTGGGCATCGTGGTTTACAGCACCCATGTACGCCACAACCTGTAGTGGGTTGTCATATGTATCTCCAATAAAAGGCTTTGGTTTTTCTGATGTCTTCCAATCAATCACACACAGCTTGCCTCTAAGGAGAATCCAGAGGACGTCTTTGTAAGTAACAGTTCAAACTGAAAAAACTCAGGCCAGCAAGATGGCTTAGGGGGTAAAGGTGCCTGCTGCCAAGCCTGACAACCCAAGTTCAATGCCCGGGAGAGCAAGGTAGGTGGGCAAACTTCCAAGGTTGTTCTCCGATATAAATGTAATGTAATAAAATATAATTTAAGAATCCCCTGAAGCCACATATTGGTGGTATATACCTTTAATCCCAGAACTTCAGAGGCAGAGGCAGGTAGATTTCCGTGAGTTCAAGGCCAGCCTGGTCCATAGAATGAACCCCACGACAGCCAGGAATACACAGAGAAACCCTATCTCAGGAAAAAAGCAAAGAAAATAGAATGAAATGGAAATCTGAAGTAAGAAAAAACTAAGTTAACTCTTCTCTTTTGTCTCTTATTGTACTTTAATTGTGGTTCTTTAATGACTGTTGCTTCTATCCTTCACTTTCCAAAACAGGCTTTGTTTCTTAGGGTTAGAAAAGCATGACAGGTATAGTCTTCATGCCTAGAATTGTAGCAACTATGATGTGGAGGCAGGAGGATAGCCTGAGTTCAGCCTGGGCTACAGAGTGAGTTCTTGCCTTAGGGGGAAAAGCCGTGATGGGTGGGGCTGGATAGGCTCAGCAGTGGGGAACTATGTCAGGAGTAGAAGCACACTTTGAAGTTCAAATAATTCTCTTTATTCCTTGGGATTCCTTTACTTTAACAGCTGACAGTAACTGAAATTATACCCATCATGGTCTTGGTTACTTTTTTTTGAAGCACACTATATTCAGTAATAATGAACTTGTAATGATTACACATTATGGCATTTCAAAACAAAGCTGAGGTTCAGTCAGTAGGAACCTAGGATATGTAAACATAAGTAAGGAGATATGGATCCTTACCTAAAGGTTTATATGCAGACAAACACTTCCTTACTCCACCCATTCTGGTATACTATGTCCACTAACTGTAGACATTCAGAAGATCAGAGTGTAGGGCCAGACTTGGTGGCAGACATCTTTAATCACAGCACTTAGGAGGCAGAGGCTGGCATATCTCCATAAGTTCGAAGCCAGCCTGATCTACATAGTGAGTTCTAGGTCAGTGAAGGCTATGTGGTGAGACCCTGCCTCAACAAACAAAAAACAAACAAATAACAAAAAAAAAAAAAAAAAAAAGGAAAGAAAGAAAGAAACAAAGAGGGCAATTCTGTCACTTGGGACACCATGGATGGATAAAGGACAGTATGCTAAGTGAAATAAGTCAGGGACAGAAATGGTGTCAGTTACATTTGGCCTCTAAAAAGTTAAGTTCAGAAGCTGGCCTTTAGTCCCAGTACTTAGGAGGCAGAGGTAGGTTGGTCTCTGAGTTCAAGGCCAGCTTGGTCTACAGAGTGAGTTCCAGGAGAGCCAGGCTACAAAGTGAGATCCTTGTCTCAAAAACCTATGTAGTCAGAGGTTCAGATGTCACGCACACAGATTCCACACTCTTCCCCTACATCCTGTTGTTACTCATAGGCTTCATTTGGGAAGGGGTATCTGCAGAAGCCAGCCACCCTTGGAATCTGGGATGACTGGGGAAAACAGTAACAGTAGCAACTCAGAACCTGGTAAGGGCAGGTTCAGAGCCCTTATCATATCAGCCACTGCCTGGAAGCCAGGAAGAGAGTTGATGTTCAGGGCCAACAGATCACAGTATAATCTTAGGCAAAACAGGAAAAAAAAAGGGTGGGGGTGGAAACTAAAAGAAAACAACGCTGATTAACAAGGAAAACAAAAAAGCAGGCAAGAGTCGACTGGGTCCAGCAACTGGCATCTTTCTTGGAGAGAAGGGAGAAGGGACAGACTGGAGAATAAGCCATGCCAAGGCGACTGAAAAGCACACCTTTCCCCACTTGGATTTTCATATTGGCACAGCCTTCCCTGCCCTCTCTCCCACCTCCTGCCCTAGTCTCACTTCTTGTTTACTTTATAAAGGTGGAGGCTACAATTCCTCGGACACATCTTAAAGACGGTTAAGAGATGCCTGCCTGCCTGTGGACATCACTGCACTGCCCACTGTGATGGAAACACTCTTGTACTTACTGGTATTCAGCCACACAGTCCAGCAGTCCTACGTACTTCAAGGCCTCGTGCTGGACAGCACTTTCCAGAGCTTGCACACCACTGATTTCTTTCAAAATATGCTGGACACTTTTGATATAGCCACATTGGAGGTGCTCTTCTGTCCCTTTTAAGTTCTCCTGGAGTGAAAGTATGCTTTCCAAGGCATCATGAAACTGTTGGCCTTGTAAGAAGATACCTAAAAGGAAAATCAAGGAAAATGAAAACTGAACCAACCAAAACCAAACCAAAGCAAGATTTAAACTATATATAACACAAGTTATCTTAAAATTTCTTTAAAGATTTATTTATTTACTATGTATAGTGTTACCAGATCTCATTATAGATGGTTGTAAGCCACCATGTGGTTGCTGGGAATTGAACTCAGGACCTCTGGAAGAACAGTCAGTGCTCTTAACATCTGAGTCATCTCTCCAGTCCCACAAGTTATCTTTAAATACCAACCCCTAGACACAAATTCTCATCCTTTTTTGTTTTTGTAGGCAGGGTCTTGTTTGCATTATAGGCTGGTCTTCACACGATTCTCTTACTTACGCATCATGCATGTACTAGAATATATAACTACACCCAGCAAAATTCAGTTTCCTATGAAACCTAAGAATGCACTTTCATACTCCCCTCCCCCACCACACAGGGTCTCACTATGTAGCTCTGGTTGTCCTGGAACTTACTATGTACAACAGTCTGGTTGTGGCTTTATAGAGATTTGCCTGCCTCTGCCTCCTAAGTGCTGGGATTAAAGGAATGTGACACCACGTCTGGCTTATCTAAAAAAAAAAAAAAAAAAGAAAACCACATGGCAGGCAAACAGTAATTTCTTTCTCTCTTTAATGTGCAAGAGTGTTTTGCCTAAATGTATATCTGTGTACCACACATGTGTGCCCATGGAGGCTAGAAAAGGGCATTGGGACTCCTGGGACTGGAGTTACAGGTGGTTATGAGCCACCACATGGGTGTTGAGAATCTAACCTGGGTCCTCTGGAAGAGCAACAAGTCCTCTAAAATATGGAGCATCTCTCCATTTACAAATTGTAAATCTTGGCAGCTGCCCAGAGGCGGGAGACAGCTATTCCTTTCTGAGATAGCCATGGAAGTTTGGCAAGCAGTCATGTGGAAAGAGTGAAAAATGCACACATAGGCTCTGGTCAGTGCCCAAAAGGCAGGCAGGCAGGCGGGGCAGGCAGGCGGGGCAGGCAGGCAGGCAGGCAGGCAGGCAGGCAGGGCAAGCAGGCAGGCAGGGCAGGCACGCACAAAGGAAAAAAAAGGAAAATTTATAATTTTGAGTCAGGCAGGCAAATCTAAAGCAGCTCAGTGGCAACTGCATGGAGACCATGGCTTCATTAAGGGGATAATTATTCCTTCCATCTCTTAGCATAGTATTAGGTGAATATACCTTCCTGAGGAGTGGATCATTAGTCAGACTGACTGACCAGTCCAACTGGATAAATTTTTCCCTTTGGGTAGGCTGTAACATATTAGGTCTCCACCCAGGCTGGAGGGAGATTTCATACCCTTGAGCAGAAGGAAATAGCTTTCTCTTAGTAGGCCTTAATGGAGCCCTGATTAAGGATACAGTGACAGTGTTTGCCTAGCAGGCACAGCTAAGTCATCTCCCTAGCCCTCCTTATATTCTTTTAGGTTAAGAAAAGGAAACACAAACCTTTAATAAACACAAGAAATGCTGTATTGTTACTTATCATTGGTAAAGGAGAAAGAGAAAGAGGGTGCACTGTTAGGCTCAGTAGTGGCTTGGTGTTTCAAGCATTACTTAATTTTCAGCAAGACAATGAATGTGGCTTCTCCACTAGCCTAGGCTGTTCTGTTAGTTTTCCCAAAACAAGAGTACCCTGACACAAGTCTCTTCCTAGCAAAGCAGGAGCTAAGTCCAGGGAGCATGATTTAGAAACACACAGAGGCATATACTTGCAAACAGATGCACAGAAAGGAAAACAACTGGGCGGTGGTGGTGAACGCCTTTAACCCCAGCACTCGGGAGGCAGAAGCAGGCGGATCTCTGTGAGTTCGAGGCCAGCCTGGTCTACAGAGTGCCAGGACAGGCTCCAAAGCTACACAGAGAAACCCTGTCTCAAAAAAAAAAAAAAAAACCTCATCCACACGGGGTCATAGTTAAACCATACTGTTTGTCAAGTTCACAAAGACTTTGAAAGGTCAGTTCTACATAAACAAAAATTGAAACTGCTTCTGGGAAATTAGTTGGAGAATTAAATGGAATTCAATTTTGGAGGTAAAACATTTTACTCCGCACATTCTTGGCCCTGTTGAAATTATCTGCATGTGAAAGGCTTACAAGAAATTGAACCCTGATGAAACTAAAATTTGAAGAGATGTAGTGTTAGCCTACACACTAAATGAGTCAGAAGACAAACTTATTAAAAATAGGAGGGGGGAGTTGAGTAGCAGAGCACTTGCCTAGCATACACAAGGCCATGAGTTTAACTACCAGCGATACCAAATAATAATAAAAATAAAATTACTTCATCCATTGCCATGCAAATAGGTAATTCCCAGCTACAGACCTACCCTGGCTAGATTCTTCATATATATGTAACCATGAACATCTAGATCTGAGGATCCCATGAATTTTAGGCTCAGAAAACATTAAACATGATTCAACTTATAAAAAATTTAAAAACAGGTTAACTGGGCACGGTGTATGCCTGTGATCCCTGCACTTGGGAGGAGGCAGGAGGATCCCACAAGTAAGGTCTGCTTCCTTTCTCCTTCCATTGCATGAACCCACATATGACTACCCCTTTACTTGAAAGTGAATCTGCTCATTGTTTAAAGTTCATATTAAAAGAGAAACACAGCAGAGTTTTAGCCTAAAGCTGACTAGGAAACTGACTGTCTGGACATCGAGCTCACTCAGCTCCAAACAGAAGCCTCTTCCCATTATCAAGCAGGTCACCAGTGCATTTCTTTACTCTAGGTCAAATCTTACCTATATGACCCAGCAGCTTCTGTCTTTCATTTGTAAAAACACTAACTAGTTAGAGTTTTCTAAGTGTGTATGTATGCACTCGTGTGTGGAGGTCAGAGGCTAACTTGCCAGAAATGGTTCTCTCTACAGTGAGAATTCTGGATATGCAATTCAAGTCCTTAGGTGGGGACAGCAGCAAGGGCTGTCTCTCCTGTGGAGTCATCTTGCTGAGGCCTTTACATTTCTTATCAATAGTTTTAGGATTTCTGACAACTAAAACAGTTTAGTGGTTATCATCAATCATTAGAAGGCACACCTGGCATATAATCATTGCCCCCTCACAGCTGAAGAATGTTATAAAGCAAAGCCTTAGTCACTTTTGCATATCCAGGTACCACCTACGTAATTACATGCTTACATTATTTTGGTATTTTCTTCCTAAGATATATAAAAATAAGAACAATAATCTTAAAATAAAAGTGTTCATGTTACTAGGGGTACATATAATATTCTTGGGGAAACAAAGGCTAAGGAATGTCTATGCAAGCCCCAGTTTTAACCAAAAACATCTATATAATCCTTAAGAGAACAGCTCATTCTCTTATGCCAATGGTTTGCTCCCAACTCCCAGCTTTACCACCACCATGGCCAATCTCCTTATGTAGTCCAGACTGGCCCAAACATGTGATTATCCCTCAGTCTCCTGAGGAAAGAGACTATAGGCATGCACTACCACGTCTGGCTCAAGTCTATTTTTAAAAAGAATTTGCTTTATTTTGAGAGAGGGTCTCACTATGCAGCTCTGGAACTCACTCTGTAGACCTGGCTGACTCACAGAGGTCTATCTGCCTGCCTCTACCACCCCAGTGCTGGGATTAAAGGTATGTGCCACTATTCCTGGCTTAAAAGGACCTGCTTTAATTAAGGAAGCTACCCTCATTATGTCAAAGGCTGTTCAATATGATCAAAACACATTGTGAGAAAGTCTCTAAGAACTAGTAAAAACTTTAAAAATATGAAAGTTAAAGGTAAGGCTGGAGAGATGACTCAGCAGTTAAGAGCACTGGCTGCTCTTCCAGAGGACCCAGGTTCAAATCCCAGCACCCACATGGCGGCTCAAAACCGTCTGTAATGAGATCTGATGCCCTCGTCTGGCATGCAGACAGAACACTGTACACATAATAAAAAAATAAATCTTAAAAAAAAAAAGAAAGTTAAAGGCATAAGTTTAACCAGTTTCTAATCAAGAATGTTTGATCAGTCCAATTAGTCAAAACATAAGAAGGGATTATATGTTCTGGGTTGTGGCCAGTTTTTAAGCTTACTGCTCAATTGACACTGATAAGCAGAACAATGGTAATAATTAGATTCTGAGAAACAGATTATTAAAAAAACTAGACTTTTGTCAAGAGATGGAAAAGAATTGATAATTTGCCAGATGGTGATGGCGCATGCCTTTAGTCCCAGCACTCGGGAGGCATAGGCAGGTGGATCTCTGTGAGTTCAAGCCCAGCCTGTTCTACAGAGTGAGTTCCAGGACAGCCAGGACTGTCCACAGAGAAACCCTGTCTCAAAAACCAAACAAAACAAAAAGAATTAATAGTCAATGCATTTTATGCATGTTTGTCAGATTGCTTGGTGTCTACTTCCCTGTCATTTTCCTATGTCACATCTGTCTCTCCTCTATGCAGAGGCAGTCCTCTCGTCTCTCCTGGACACATATCCTTGCCCCCTCTTCCTTGTTCCCTTTCCCTTCTCCTGTGTTTATCTTTTATTTTCTGCCCCGTGGGGCAAATAAGTCTCCTTTGTGCTGAGAACTTGGCCTTTCAGATATGAAATGCTATTTGAAAGTAGTTCTTCAGTAAGTTGTTTTTTAAGCCTCATTCTTTTGACTGGAATGCTCTATACCTTAAAAACCAGTGACCACACATAACCAGAAACAAGAGAATTATTACTTTTAGTATATTCTGCAAATCCATCTTCTCCCAGCTCCAGAACCATCCGTTGTTTCCACCTCTCCAAAAAGAAACACTGTTCTGGTGTCATGGTCTGTTGAAGGATGCGAGTCACACTGGGTGCCACATTTTTTTGCAAAGGGATCTTCAAAGGGCCTGAAGAAGCACTTGTGTGTGGTTTCACATTTCTCTCCTCATTGAAGATAGGAAACCAGTTCTGTGGGACTCTTCCCTGCTGCTGTTGCTCCGGGGCCCTATGCTTGCTCACAGGGCCATAGAGTATATTATCTTCCTGGAACAATGACTCTGGGGTCTGGACCGGGCCTCTGGACAACACAGACCGTACTAAACGAGCATACTTTTTTTGGTCTATTGCTTCGTAAGAGTTTTTTTTCTTCTGGCCACACAAACAAGGGGAAGTGGAGAAACTCGCAAGAGGGCTTGGTTTTGTGGAAAATCTGTTTAAACTTCTAAGCAGCCTGCAGATGGTCAGAAACGGCTTCATGTTTAGACGTTTTCCCCTTTACTTTCTCTAGTCTGTACAGCATACAAACATACTGTATTGTCTTTAAAAAAAAAGAAAGTGGTGTTAGATTTAAGATGTTTTATATATTCAAACCATCAAAGTGAAAAGCCACACAAGAACAAACATCAAACGTGCATACACCAAACTTCTGATGTTTGGGAGAAAAATCGTTCCCAAGAAAAACTCATCAAAATTATACAGCATTCGTTAAATGTCACTGTGCCGGCCGTTTGGGGCAAGACACACTAAACTTTTAGTCTGAAGTAACGTACAAGGTCTGGTGGCACAGGCCAGGAAACTCAGTCCTCCTGAGGCTGAGAAAGGATGAGAGGTTGAGGTTGGCTTGCCTTTCTCTCTGAAAACAAACAACCCGACCACCGCACACACTCCAAAACCAAGCTCAGAAATCCTAATCAACAATTAAACGCCGACACCTACATACCAACTCTCCACTAGACATTCAGCATGGACATTTCTCATCTATTCCTCACACCCTTTTAAAATGGGTGCTATTATGACCCTGTGGTACAGACCACGACAGGAACCCCGGCAAGGTAGCTAGCTTGTCTCAGGTAGGTCTGCAGGGCCCAACAACGCAATTACAGAAAGTGACCTCTGCAGCTGTCTCCCATGGGGGGAGACGCGGCAACTGTGGCCCCTCGAACACAGCGAAGAGACTATCTGAATTGACTCCCAGCCTACTGCAGAGTTCTGTCTGTACCTGAGGCACCACCAGCACGGTTTTGAGCCCAGAGCGCGATCAACCTCGCCTCTCGGGACCCGTACTTCCCTGGCTCCCGCGCTTTCCCCAAAGAGAGGCGGGCCCAGCATGCACTGCGGGGCCCACGCCTCACCCGAGAGGCGTTCCTCCTTCTCTGAAGCTGCAGCGTGGGCGCCTCCTGGTCTCGCGTTTCCGCCGTCACGAGATCTGCGTACGTCACCGTCTGTCGCCATCTTGGGCTCTGGCTGAGCAATAAATCCCGCCTG